ATTTTCACCTTCGGACTAAAAATATAACCTGAAAGTATTACCTACAATATGTCCTTATTAAGTACAGTTTAGTGCTCACTACAGAAATTATAGGAAAAACAAGACGCTGCTAGGATCGATACAGATGTTAATAGATCTGCTAGTGTCTTAAGTTCCTGACATTTTGAAAAGTGAAAAGTCTTTACATTAAGCCTCTTAAGGAGGCTATTATATTAAGGAGTGTGAAACATTTTGTTACCTGACCATGGTATTGAAGAATACAGCTATGAACGCGTTTTGGTGTTCTAGAGTAACATTCATGTTTACCTGGTGCATCTGAGCCAGAGATATTCAGACTCAAATGTGGCTGATAATTCAAGATGAAATACAACATGTATTACTCTTGAAAAGAGGAATTTTCTATCCTTTCCTCGGTAATTGAGGTCATTCAACCACTAGAGTTCACCTGGAGTCCATACTGTGATACACGCTTAACTCAAAGCTATTTTATCTTTTGTGCTGATAGTCAAGATCTCGACTATAACATTGACATCAAACTCTGTCTGGGCGGATGACTAAGAGTGGTGCAAAACGTAAACTTTTGACCCTCAACTTTTTGACCTGCAGTTGTAACGCCCTAACCACAAAGATATACAAAAGCTATGCAGCGTCTTTTAGGAGCAAGAGACTTGGACTGTTTGTTTCAATGGTTCTGCTGTTTCCCCCCTGCTTTTTAAGTGTGGGGTTTTTTTTGTGTTGTTGTTATTGTTGGGGTTTTTGTTGTTGTTTGTTTGTTTTGAGAAAACTGGATTTTTTAAAAAAATGCTCACCATTGTAAAGTGCTGTTAAATCAGTTTGCAAACTCTTTCGCCAGCGTTGGAGGGACTAGATTAACTGAAAGACGCTATATGGTTACAATTGCAGGTGAAAGTCTGGTAAGTTCTGGACATGGAGTCGGAAAGAATGTACTGTATAGCACTGGGGAAAAGATGTAGCTATATGTTGCTAAGTACTTAGTCATTTCGCCTTTATTTAAAAATAAAGAAACTCTAATTGTTTGTGAAGCCTTGTCTAGGCAAACGAGTTGACTGTGAACTTGGTCTAAAGCGAGCTCTGCTGGTGATTCCTAGGGTGTGCAGATTTATCTTTTCTGCATTTACTTAACCTGGCAGTGAACTGCAAGGGCTGCCATTTGTTATCCAGAGACAGACTTCACCTCAAGCAAGGACTGTTTCACAAAATTGCAATAATTACCCAATAACCTTCATAACAAATATTATTATTGAAAAGACATTTTTTTTGGATATAGGACAGATTCCGTATGTGCACTGTAAAGGGAAACCTTTGTAAATCTTGTACATTCTGTATGTCTTATGTGGTATGGTGTACATATGCAGCTATATATACATATGACTAAGATGGTACATGAGTGTTTGTTTTCCTCAGAAATATTAGCGAGGATGCTTTCATTTATAAAGGAGAATACTTTCAAATATAAGCAGGCTACTGTAGGAGTCATATCTTTGTACTATTCATAAAAACTCAGACACTGAATTGTGTCTATCTGAAGCCTAAAAGAGAGAAAAAGATAAGGGGGAAAGAGATTTCTTATCTTGGTCAGAAGGTTTATTCATATTTAATTTATTATATCTGTACCAGCTGTGACGGGAAAGTACATTCCTCCAGTACGTACGATTTGAAATCGAAAATCATGATCAGCCCATATGAATCTGTTACAGTCAATTTCCCATAGAGCAGACAGAAAACATTTGTATTCTCACCCTTCTACAGACACACCCTTACTAAATGTAAGGAAATGGGAGAATAGTAATTTCGCTATGTTTAATAATTAGTACGTGTGTAGGGCTCAGACAAATCTATCAACCTAAAATTATTTGCCTTTCACAAGACATGTTATAGTTTAGTGAAAGTCAAGACTTATAAATTACTAGGTATACGCACAAACGGGTTGCCTAAACTTTAATTGGCCTTATGCTGAGACAGGACACACTACACTAACGTATTTCTTTCAGAGAAGTTAGTAAATTGTATTTTAATACCAAGTAGACCACCACTTGCGATGATTTCAGTAAAATAAACTCAAGTGCACTGAGTCCAAAAATACCGTAGAAAAATAATATGGACAGAAAAGAACTAAATCTTGATTCCAAATGATCATTCTCTACGAAGGAACCAGCAACTTCCCCTCAGAAGATAGTTAGGATCTGTGAAAGGTTTTTGGAGTTTTGCGTTTTGAAGGTATCTGAGTTTTCCGTTCCAGTCTGGATTATAAAATCTTGACGCATTTCTGTTTTAAGAGGATTCAAGCTGTCATAACTTTGAGAGGGTGATTCAAGGCTAGAAATACTTTACAGTTGTAGTAATTTTTCAATCAACTTTATTTTGTGTCTCAAGAGTGAGTCTCGTAGTTCCTTACAGAATGTATCTGTAAATATTGGGATATTTTCACAATACCCAAACATGTCTACACTGTATCTCATATATAGCATGCTTAAGAAGCTAAAATTCAAAGAATGTCATGTTGGTAGCAAATTATTTACTTCCTTCACTGACAATTCACAACCTCAGATGACATTAAGGTCCCTTAAAAAGAATTTAAGTACATTTGCCCTATGATGAATATCCAGTTCTCACAATGAAGCTAAGAAACTGAGATATTCAAACGATTATCTTTAGTTTTAATCTACGAAATAGCAGAAATAAGAGCTTTTTCTTCAGAAAACCACCAATATATGAAAGAAGTCAAAACTTATAAACTAGTCTATGTATGATTTTTGCCATTAAACACTGCCTGGGTATTATGACATATAATTAAATGTATTCCTATCAAATATAACTTTGCTGTATTCCTAATATTGAATCTGTTATATTTGTGTACCATGAAACTGCCAGCTGTTTGTTATGGGAATTATTCTAGATTGTACTTTGGCTATAAAGTGCAATAAAGAATGCACTTTTAAAGTCTACCTCTTTTCCATTTTATTATAGGAATGAAAAGCAAATGTCATTATCTAGTGTTCATAGAAAGATACTAAAACACAAAAGTACCTAAAACTTTTTATCTTATGTTGGGAATGAACTCAAAATATTAAAAGTTTGTAAACCTACCATAACTTTTGGAGTAGCTCTCGGGGTTAACCATGAATATATGATAGTGTTTTATCAATGTGTACCCTTGATTATTTGAAAAAATTAAAACAAAGGTAGAATGAATTTTCTATTTCATTCTTAGACCTTGCGGAGGTATTATGTTATAAAGGTGCAAATAATAATCTTCATAATTCTCCTGAATTTTAACACCTTTCTGCCATTTTAATAATAGTTTCAGCTATCGTATATTACGAAAATTAACAATACTCAAAGAGAAAGGAATCTAACAAAATAAAGCCAGAAATCATCTAGTGACAAACAAATCCGTTCTTTTTAATCTCGAATTTATGACATGTCAGGAAAAATAACATCATTGCACTGCAGTTTTAGAGAACTCTGTTGAGTCTGGTGTACTCCAAAATGACCAAAAATTAGATAGATAGATAGATAGATAGATAGATAGATAGATAGATAGATAGATAGATAGATAGATAGATAGATAGATGTCAAAATTTGTATTTACAGTCTCTGGGCTTAATCCTTCAAACCTTTACTCAACTGAGTAGTCATCACCCCAATAGTCCTAATGGGTTCAGTGAGACTACTCACCTAAGCAATGATCTTGTGAGTAAGTATTTTCAGGATCTGGCTCTAGTTCTACAAAGAAGGAGAGAGACGGAGAGAAAGTGAAAGTTTCTTTCGCCCTTTCATTCAGCCCCTGAAAATTCAAAGACTAAAGTTAAATCCGGCCATAAAGTTTACTGCTGAGTAATCACACTCTGGTGAGAATAGTCTACTTAAATAAAAAGAATGTTGAAGTAAACACGCAGCTGGGGCCTACCTCACAATTGCTAGCCAATAATATCTGTAGCTATATAGAGACGGGGTTATTTACAATTGTCTATAACCTGGTCTGTATTTCATAATTTACAGCATGGTGACTTGTAGTAGCTTGTATTAACGTTACAAGTTACAGTCAATGTGTTTCCTCAGAAAAAAACAGCAGAAATACAAAAAATGTATACTGTCTCTGGAAAAAGGTATAACAAAGTTGTAAGTGGCTATGAGTGACCGCACATTCCACGTATACACATATGGATACACAGTCATATAGATATAGCTATCTATATAACACAGAGCAGTAAAGAGGAATCCTAAACACGAAAATTCAATCTATGCCATTTTAATGCTTGCTTTGGTGTGCAAAATATTTTCCAATCCAAAGATTACAACCACATCGGCACACCTACAGGTTATCATGCCTCTATAAGACACTTCTCAAATAATATCAACCCATGTAATTCCCTTTAAAAAATTCGCTGCAGTATCTACTCTTTGCTAAACAAAACCTTTCCAAACTGGAAAGTCTATGAAGCAAAGGAAGTAATTATCTTCTGCAGTAGTCAAAGTAATTAAAGTTAGGCCTCAAAATCCATCTCTGCCAAAAACGCTTATTGTGGTTTACTTTGATTTGATTGTTAAAATATAGAGCTAGCTGCTGAATGTTAGAATCAGAGAGGGGAAAACTTTTCAACGAAACCTGTATCCTTAGTAGATTATTCTGCATTTCTGAATTAAATGTGACAGTCCTGGAAGGATCCAGCCAGAAAGAGTCCAGTTCTCCACTGTACAAATAAACTTTAAGGAACTTGTGCATAAAACTTACCTTGACTTGTAAGGAGCCATTTTTCATAGAACACTGAGAACTTGTGATTTGGATACTTCTGTACCTAAAACTGACAATTTGAATGACCAGGAGGCACACGTAGCCTGCAAAAGAGTCAAATGAAGTCCAGCGTCAGCGAGATTATATGTTATGTGGTATATAATGTTGGATGTCAACTCCCCAAAACCATAAAACTTACTTTAATGGCACCACGTGACTTTTTATAGCCAGTGAGCCTATCTGTCTGTGCTATGGATGATTTTACGATCTAATTCATAGACAAAACCCTATTCATTTGGCACCCAAATGTCATATAGCCGGAACTGGGGCTTATAAAGTTTACTGTTTTATAACTTTTAAGGGAAGGCATCAGTGTAACCAGTCAGTAAATGTGCAAATCTCTAGTTGCTCTTAGAAGCTCTGAAGAGTTAACCATTCAAGCTCTGATGGGGTAAGTAACATTACATTTATAGAAAACTAATTGTAGAGAAAAAAACAAATATCTTTAAAGGGTGAAAAGCGGGAAGGTGGCTATAGGGTGTTGCTTATAGACGCAAAGATCTCTGATGTGGCTCCTGCAAATATACTTAATTAAACCACACGAGTAATTATATAGCAAGGTAAACACGCTCTGGGGTTGGGAGTGTATTTTAACAAAGCACATGTTTTTCAACAATCACCAACCAGCTACCAGTTTATTCACCCACAGAGAATGTTGATTGTGGTTCTGCAATGCAGCTTTCGACCTAACGAGAAACCATTAAGGAGGAACTTATGGTCAAACTTTCAATTAAAAGGATTGGTGTCGGATAATTGCACTTGTATCATTTGCAAAGTGTAGCATAAGGTCCTATCCAGGTAAAATGTTACAAAAATCTGCACTGTTTAAGAAAAAAATCAGCAAATCAGGAAGTACAGCTTCGAAATCAGATCACGAAAACTTACAATAGAAAGTTTATTTATTTATTTTTGTCTGTTTGTTTCCAGTCAGTTTTTTAAAAAAAAACAAATACAAAAAAAAAAAAGCTGATCACAGTTTGCTCAAACAGCCAGACTTTGACTATATTTGTAACTTTGTTCACAAAAACATACATTACTGATGCTGCGCTTAATAAGAGCCACTTCTAGGAGTTCGTGCAAAGAGTCATACAAAGGCACAGCAAGGACATACTGCTTGGAATCACAGTTTTCGTCACAGATTCACTATTCACTACACGTAGGACAAGTTCAGTTGTATCTCATCATTTCACCTCTACAACAGCATTAATTACACAAGAATTATATAGGTAGTTTGAATAAAAATATTTTAACAGCTTGGAGCTATACAGTTATTAACACTTAAACACACATGCACAGTTAAGCAAATTGAGTGCAACACATAACATTTGTACTAAAGGAGGGGGATTCTCTCTCTTTTTTACAGTTACTTCAAGTAACACAGCTCGCTTCATATAAATAAGTTAAAACATCTAAATTTTCAAGACAAAGCCATCCAAGACAAAGAAATGTAGGGGAAGCAGATCTACTTATACACGCGATATAATGGTAAGAAACAGGCTCATGATTAAAAGATGAATTAGGGCGACAAGAACAAGGTTTCTTCACAGAAGTAACACAAGGAAGTTTTAGAAAGTCAACTTAGTACTGACATTATGCGCAGGGTCAACTAATACTGCTCAGTACTTTTTAATAGATCAATTTCTTAAGGACGAAAAGCCCCTCCTGCAGCTGCCATGCTCATGCTTTTCAGCTTATTATCCTTTTTCCATTTCATTCTCCTGTTTTGGAACCAGATCTTTATTTGTCTCTCTGAGAGGCAAAGAGCATGTGCTATTTCAATCCTTCTTCTGCGGGTCAGGTATCTATTGAAGTGAAATTCTTTTTCCAGCTCCAGGGTTTGATATCGGGTATAAGCAGTCCGAGCCCTTTTTCCTTCTGGTCCCCCTATGTTGTCTGTAACAGAAAAGTGAATGATTTAGTCTCTCCCAGCGACCTGCTCCTGTATTTTCTAAAGCAGCCCAGAGCATCAGTAGTACCGTTATTCTTGGTCCTGTTTTTGTTTTGGATAAATGCTCAACAAGTATCCCCTTTTCTGTAGACATTTTTAGAAGAGTAAACCAACAGAATCCTGAGCTAAGCTGATCAATGCATTGTGGATCTGAGGCTAGATTGGATTTCAGAGATAGGAAAGCAAAGCAAGCAAGGGCATTCAGATCTGTCACGAGATTTAGTTTTAGAATGCTTTGTAACTAACAAAATCATTCCTGTTTCATAATTAGAAGGGGCATGGCAGGTATATATATATATATATATAATTACAGAGCAGAAGGCAACCACATAGCCTTCCCATGCCCCCCGGTCCTTACCCTTAGGATTTTTTCTGACTTCCTACCAGTGCAAACTCCCACCCTCACTCACTGTTTTGCTAAACTCTTTTTTTATATATAATTAGTAACGCTGTTCCGCTGGACAGTCTTCATAATAAATTACACACCGTGACAAGCACTATTCACATTTTCCCACTTCAGATACATCTCTGCTCCCCGAGTTGTGCAGACTTTGTTGAGTTAGAGCTGCTACATTTACATTTTTAAAGTGCCTACGAAACGGTCGTTCCCCACCGTGCAAGCACAGGGGGTCTGATCAGGCTACACACTCACATCCACCCAGCCACCACGCATTTTTACATTAAAGCCTCTTTAAAGAAAAGCAGGGTACGCTTTACCATGACTTATGTGCAGTTTTCGCATCCAGGGGTAGATCTGGGGCTGTGAAGGCTGAGCTGTGCTTTGGTCATTCTGGGCACTTGCCTGGTCGCTGCTTGCTGGGGTGTCATCCTCAGTGCCAGACGACGTGCCAACCCCCTCTCTGCTTATGTGAGTGCTGCTGCTGGAATTGGACGAAGTGCTGGTAGAGTTAGCTATGGAGTTTTTCACCCCGTGATGACTGTCGCTGACAGGCGAAGTGGCCACGGCGGTACAGGGCAGAGGGTCAGGTGGAGGCGAATGTGAAGACGTTGCAGGTTGGTTATACCTGGGCTCTGTCGACGCAGAGGTGGTAGTGGCTGGGTAATTGCGAGATCTTTCATTGGCACCAAAGTGGTTGGAAGCTGAGCGCCCAACGCTGAGATCCATGCCATTGTAGCCGTACCCGTACCTGCTGGAATGCATGCTCGCTGAATCCCTGTATTGCTCGCTCACGGAACTATGATCTCCATAATTATGTAACTGGTAGTCCGGGCCATTTGGATAGCGACCGCAAAATGAGTTTACAAAATAAGAGCTCATTTGTTTTTTGATATGTGTGCTTGATTTGTGGCTCTTGGTCGTTTTGTGCGTCTATAGCACCCTTGCACAATTTATGATGAATTATGGAAATGACTGGGACATGTACTTGGTTCCCTCCTACGTAGGCACCCAAATATGGGGTACGACTTCAAATCACGTGCTTTTGTTGTCCAGTCGTAAATCCTGCCTGATGACCTCTAGAGGTAAACTCGTGCACTAATGGGGGAGTTGGGTGGATGCTGGAGGGTTGGCGCGCGCGCCCAAGGCGCGCTCCCGCTTCCAGCTCCTGATTGTCAGTCGGACTCTTGCGCCACCCTCTGGAGACTAGTTAGATCTTCACGCTTCCAGCCAGGGTCTGCAGGGCTGGGGTCGACTCGAGGTTACAGCCCATTATAGCAAAATTATTGCATTTCTCTCACAGTTCCATTAGTATGTACCAATTGTAACGGGCTATCTGCTGCAAATCACAAAACCAGCAATAATGCAGGAGTTTGGGGAAAACATTTGCTTTTATTTTCAATAGCTTTCTTTTATTCTTTAATTCCTTCCTCTTCTGTTCTGCTATAGATTTTTAAATACAGAAATAACTTCGATCTCTTTTTAAAGTGATGCTTATTTAAACCTATTGAAAAATATAAATCCTCTCACACTGGCAACAATTACAGTCATGTTTTGCAGGCGCTTAAGAAAAGCTGTACTGCCGATTTTAAAAGGCAGGTACCTATTAAAAATAAATATTGTATAGTAGTTTTCCAACTGGGGTCAAATTCTATATAATTTTATGGTGGGCATCTTTTTCTCAGATAAATATAATGTTGTGGCGGTCATTTGACATTAATATTTTCGCGATTTGGGACTATTCAGAGCGGTAGCCCAAATTGCTTCTCCTTCCGAATAAAGGGGTCTTTGTGTGTACTGTACGCACATTCACACACACATATACGTATCTATTAGTAAATATTTTGACTGCATGTATTTTACTCAGTGAAAGAGAACTCTATTTGGAATCAATTTAGAAGCTAGTTTCTATCTATTATCTATTTAGTCTTCTGTGCTAGGAATTTCGAAAGTAAATAAAGATAGAAAGAAGAGCCACGATTTAACATTACAGACCACTGAGTTTTAATTTTTTGAAACTAGCACAATCGTACTGCATGATTAAAACCCCTTCGTTGCTCAATGAAAGCTTTCTTTACTATCAGCGCCACATCAGGAGCCGCAGAAATCTGCCCGCCTCAAAACCTTTTCTTTCCCCGCTGTAAAGTTTAACGCATAGTTTTTTCTTTAATACTGGCACAGATTTTGTTCAATTTAGTGGAATCAGTTCTGGGCATTTTAAAATCTCCCTGCGATTCATCCTCGATTTTAATGGAAGTTAATAGTCAGGATTTGTAAATCGATTTTTTTAAAATGCCGTTACCTTCTCTGTGCTAATTAAATCTCTTATACACGTGTAAAACTTTTTTTTCTAGAGACCCTAAAATCCCAAACACAGTAGAACAAGATGCCCGGGATTAGTAAAGACATCAAACCAGGATTTTCTAAATCAGGCGTCACTCCACAATATGAACGTTTCCAATTACAAAAATCTACTCACTTATCTGTTGCCTACAGCCATACGGTCGTATCAGAGACATTCATACAGACATAGATGCTCAATTTAAAATATTTATAATTATAATCTAGGTTTTTTTCTGAATTACTTTAAGCAAGGCTATCTAGGCTTTGAAAAGGTGACCAGATACACTACATAGCTCTAAATCAAATATTTCTATTTTTAAATAAATTCACAGTTGATTGCAAATGTATATATTTTAATCAAGCCTTTGGGAGTCAACAGACTGTGAAAAACCTATAGGATTTTAGTAGCAGAAGGAACACAAGAAAAAAATGCTAAAAAGGAAAAGGCCTGGTAACTTTTATTAAGCATTACTCTACTCCCCTGACTTTTCCTCTGTTTCTTCGCCGCTGGGCTGTGTGGAATGTATGAGTTTGTTTTCCTTTTTCCATTTCATTCGCCTGTTTTGAAACCATATTTTAATTTGTCGTTCAGTAAGGCAGAGAGCGTTTGCAATCTCAATCCGTCGTCTTCTGGTTAAGTATCTGTTAAAATGAAATTCCTTTTCTAACTCTAGCGTTTGGTATCTGGTGTAAGTTTGCCTCCCCCGTCTCCCATGTGTTCCATACACTGTACCTGTAAAAGTAAAGACAAAATTGTCGCATTGAACAAGGCCCAATGATTTCAAGTTAAGAAATAGTGGTCAGTTGCATTGCGCCTCCTCTTGCAGAGGCAATCACATAAGGGGTGTCTACTCTGATATTCAGAAGTTTTCTTGATTAAACATTTCTAAATGATGAAGATCATCATTATCAGATTTGAAGGTATAATTCTGATACACAAATATGTATTGGGAAAAGCATTTACCCAATGAACGAGAAATATTTAAAACTTTTATATATACATACTTGTGTGTGAGATATACAAATATGTGTGCGTATGTATACAACTATAATAGTTACTATAACTATAGCAGAACTATAATTAAGTATGATCATAATTAAAGCTCAGAGAAGCAACTAAAGTTCCTAGAACAGCCCCTGGCATTTGCTCCTGGATATGGTGCATTCAAATGCAAAAGGGCTCTTCAAAATAAGAAATGTCTTTCAAAGTTAAACTTTTCAAATAAATATAAATCATAATCCTACCTTTCAAGAGATAACCCGGGGGAAGGTAAGGGGAGATTTTATTTTTTGGAACAGTTGACGTAAACAAGGCAGTGTGCTTATTCAAACAAGTGCCATTTGCTCCCATCCCAAACAGTCCTGTTGTGTAAACTTCACTTTAAGTGAGACAAAATTCGAGGTGATATGTAAATGTGCACACATTGTCCGAAAACGTGCTTTCGATAACCAATATTTGTATACTAATGGGCTTGGGAGGGTCCTACAAATAAATGGGGGTAGACAGTACAGGGAGCATGTTCCTTACATCAGTCTTTGACACTGAAGGAGCGAAGAGGTTTCTTCGAGGAGGGATGGTTATTAGTAATTTGTGAATGCCTATTTTTCAGTTATTACTAAGGAACTGCACCAAGTCAGCCAAGTTTGGAGCAGATTGTTCCTAAACTGCTTTAAGGCTGCCAATGTGCCAGGGCTGGAATAACCTGGAAAGGTTTCGTGTTACACATTACCTCGCAGGAGTCATTCCTCTCCGACAGTTTGGACGCCCTTTCTGAAAGTCTTTCTCAAAGAAACTTCTCTCTCTCTCTCTCTCTCTCTCTCTCTCTCTCTCTCTCTCTCTCTCTCTCTCTCTCT